CGTTGGCTTTCCCAGCTTGTCACGGTGCGCGGCGGAGGAGATGACATCCCTGCTCCTGCCAAGACAAACACGGCGCCTTCCAAACACGCAGGGCTTGGCAAGCCCACGCCTCGGCCATCGATCACCAAGCCTGCCATACTCCAGCCCACGACAGCCCAGCCAGGGAGTGGAGCAGGGGAGAAGCAGTGAGGGGTTTGGTGGGGGTCTCAGCAACACCCTCCCCACCCTCCAGCACTGCCAGATGAAGGATGGAACGCCTGGCTTCTTTCCCCTCCTGGGACTGGGGGCTTGTCCTGGGCTCCTAGCACCCACCCACTGCTGCCATGGGGTGCTGGGCAATGCCAGAGAGTCTGTCCCCAACCCCTTGGCATGCAGAGGGTGCCCAGAGTGGGGACAGCTCATCCCTGGGGTGTCTATGCTGAAGGGTGCCCTGCAGCTGCTGGCTTGGCCCCAGGCAGAAAGTTGGCCAGAGCCACCTCCAGGCTCTTACAATAATAAACTCCGCTCAGGCAAGCATTTGTCACCAGGGCTGGAGCAGCAAAGGCCCAGATATCCCAAACATCTGTGGGAGGGAGCGTGGGAGGCAGAGGGCAATCGGGGAGGTCCTGGAGGGGCCAAGCAGGGGCTGTCCTCTCCACAGTGTCCTAGGATGATGACAGCAGAGCATGGCATCACCCAGATCAACCCTTCCGAAGGGCTCATTTCAGCCTGGAGGGGCAAATCCTGCTCGTTCCTCGCATCCCCTGCAGCTGTTCCTGAGCTGGGAGCTGCTTGGGGTTGCATATGAAGCTGGAGACTCGGAGACCTGCAGCATGCAGGCAGCTTGTGGGGACTGGGGGGATGGAGGCTGTTCTCATGGCACTGCCAGGCCGTGCAGGTCTGGAAGCACGAGGCTGTGGCACTGCTGCCTCCATGCACCGAAGTGTGCCGTTCTCAGCAGCGAGGAGAGGCAGCAGCCACTCTGGGGTGAATCCCTTCAGCTGGAGCTCTCCCGGGGGCTGAGGCACCCCTCAGCATCACTTCCCACAGTGGAGTGTGAAGAGCAGAGTGCTGGGATGAGTCAGGGGAGCCCCAGCCCCTCTGCCTTCCCTCCAAGCCTTTACAGCCCACTAGTCCCTGCACCTCCTACTCCCTGCATCCCCCTGCCCTGCCCAGCCCCTGAACCCTGTGCCGCCCCTCCCAGCTGGTCTCCTAGCCCTGCCCACAGTGTGGGTACCCAGCACTGGCCACCACGCCCCCGGCGAAGCCCTGGAGAGGTGCCTGGCAAGCTGGCTTGCAGCCCTGCCTTGGTCTGCCCGTTCCCACCCTGCTCTCTGCAGGACGGTGCCAGGCTGTGGGCACCCTGGGGACCTGGAGGGCCACCTCCCACTGCCCAGCTGCGTTGGGGAGCACTGGCAGCGGGGCGGGGGGTCGATCCTGTGAGTTAAATCTCCAGGGTGCAGTGAGGGGCAGATGCTTCATTCCAGGGGCAGCAGAGGGTTAAGCAGCGTCTGGCAGACTGGAAGGGGATGGAGAGGAGGGAGTGAGAGATGGAGGAGCTTGTTTAATAGCTGGAGACAAGTTATGCAGCTGTGCAGGTCGAACGGGCCCTGCAGCGCCCCGACCCCTGCCACCTCCCCCCTTGCCGGCCCTGCCTGCGCACGGCCGCCCTGGGCTGCCCCGGGGCGGGCAGGCAGGGCTGGGCAGGCAGGGCAGGCTGCCGGGCACGGGGCTGGCAGCTGGGGAGCATCAGCATAGCTATAAAAAGCAGGAATGCTCCCCCACTAGCAGCATGGCACCAAAGGCACTGCCTGCCAGCCTGGCAAGGGAAGGCAGCACTGCCTGTCCGGCTGGCTGGCAGTGGGGAGCTGTCACGGAGGGCTCCCTGTGCCTGAGCCCCCCACTCAGGGTGCCGGGGACACTTTGGCACCAGGGCATGACCCAGAGGGCTGAGCAGGTCCTACGGTCCCTGCGGGGTCCCCGGTGTGGGTCCTAGGGTCCCTGCAGGGTCCCTGGGGTGGGTGGCAGCAGGCTGGTCCCAGGCTGGCACAGAGGGGTCACCAAACCTGGTCCAGGCATCTCCCCACCACTCAGCTGTGAACATGGCCCTGCTCCCTCCTGGCATCATCCTCTTCCCTGGGGACACCTGCCTGCTGCCTCCTCCTCCTCCCTGGGGACACCTACCCTGGCACCCGCTGCCTGGGGTGGATGAGATGGGGACCTCTGGCCCTGAGGAGGAGGTGTGAGACATCAGGCAGGTGGGGGACAGATGGCCAGAGGACGAAGCTGGCACAGGCTGTGCCAAGGCATCCGGGAGCAGGCTGGAGCCTCTGGCATCGCCATGCAGCAGGGCCGGGGAGGAGAGGGGACAGGGAGGGAAGGGGGGAATGGGGACAGGAACGGGGATGGGCATGGGATTAGGAGTGGGACAGGAATAGGAATGAGAACAAGGACAGTGGTGGGAATGGGAACTGGGACAGGAAAAAGGATCAAAATGGGGATCGGGATGGGAATGAGGACAGAGAGATGGGGACAGCAAGAGGGATGGGAGTGGGGACAGGAACAGGGATGGGGACAAAAATAGGGATGGAAATGGGGACAGGAGCAGGGATGAAGAGGGTGACAGGTAGGTGGTGAGTGCCCACCCCGGACCTGTGGGCAGGGGTTGAGGAGGCAAAAAAAAGCTCACGGGAGCTGGGACAGGCAGGCAGCCGCCCTCTGCAGCGGCGTGAATGTGGCCACGTCAGCGCTTCCCATCCCTGGTGCTGGGAGGAGAGCTTGCGGCGAGCAGAAGGGTCCAAGGGTCAATGCAGGAACAGGGGATGCAGTGACCCACACCTCAGAGAGGCTTCCAAGGTGTAAAGAGCCCGGAGGCCAATTAACCTCCGTGGTTAATTAGGACAGGAAGCCACAGGTTTAAACTGTAGCAAGGGAGAAGGAAGTTACAGGGAAGGCTGAATTGTAATGATGGGGACTTGGGAGAGTCAGGCCATTAATGGCTCAGTTCTGGGTTAATGATACACCGGGTGGGGCCAGGAGTCTTTCCGTGCCAGCAAGTCAGCGTTCATGGGGACAGGGAGGGGATGGTGGGGACTCAGCTGCACTGCCCTGGCTCCTGTGCATGTCTCCATGACCCCCACAGCCATTCTGGGGGGCAGCTCCTGGGAGGGTGGCCTGGGGCAGAACTGGACACTACCTCTCCTGCCTGGTGTCACCCACCAAAGCTCAGAGGAGGACCCTCAATCTCCCCCCAGCACCAGGCAGGTAGTGGGGGGAAGGAGGGGGGGGAGGGTGTGTGGTATGAGAGCCGCCTATGGCTGCGGCTGCCCCAGTTTAATTCACTGCCAAATGTGTGTCACCACCCCCAGAACTGCAGCCGGGGGCCAGGAGGCTGCACTGGAGCCCAGTGACCCAGGGATGCAGTGAGCCTGGAGAGGCCAAGTGACCTGCCACCGCCACAGCCCCACGTGCCGAGGCACTGGTGCAGGGGAGAGGGTGCCCCAAAGCATCGCCCAACTCACCAGCTGTGAGGAGAGAAAGTGAGACGGGGAATTCAGGACAGCCTTTGTGTTTGCACCAGACCACGAGAGACTGGGGCTCTGAGGGGAAAACAAAATCTCTCCTTAGAAATTCTTTTATCCCAGGAAGCTCCTGCATATCATGTTTCGGGCCATTTATTTGTACTGCTGGCTGGGGCCATTGAGGCTGCCCTTTCCTGCACACCGGTGGCTGGTGATGAGAAGCCGGTGACAAACTCATTGTTTTTCAGAGAAAGACAGAGGAGAAGCGTGAAGACGAAGGACAGAGCTTGCTTATTTCAGAGGAGCCATCCCTGGGAAAGGATGACAAGGTGTCTCTGCCTGGCTGGAGACCCTCCCCCGACCCTCTCCCTGCGGTGTATCTGGGGTGATGGAGTGGCACTGGGACAGAGCAGGGGTCTTTACTCAGGGGAGGAACTGCTCAGGCAACACCTGCTTGGGTGTCTACAGCCCTCCATCCTGTGGCCCTTGTGCCGGGACTGCCCTGGCTCCCCCATGCCCTGCTTTTGCCAAGGGAGCCTGGCCCCCAGGCATTGGTACCACCCTGGGGGGATGGCTCAGGCCCACCCACCCACATGATGGGTCTAAGTTCAGGGCACCCTCCCCTTCAGCATCCCTTTCTGTGCTTTCTCAGCATCCTTAATGCCTCGTTATCCTGCATGGGAGCCAGGCAGCAGCAGGAGAGGGGCGAAAACTGTGGATGGGACCTCTGAGGGCAAGAGAGAAGGTCTTGCTAGGGTCAGGGGCATGGGGCCAAGTTCCGTGGTGCTTGCAGGAGGGCTGTACCAGTAGCCGGGGGAGGAGGCAGCCTTGCAGGCAGCACCACAGAGGCCCCCAGCCTGGCGGGAGCAGAGCAGGGGAACTAAGGCATAAGCCTGGCAACTGAAGAGCTCCAGGGTGCCCAGCTCAGGGCGGGAAGGACCAGGGCAGAGCTACGGGGCTCATCTGCACAGCACCTGCCAGCTGCTGCCCTGGAGGGAAGCACAGAGTAGTGTCCAGGGGAATGGTGCTGGGTAGGCATCACCCAGGGGCCGGCAGATCCCGGAGCAGGAGCATATCGGGGGACTGGTGCTGGGCAGGGATCAGGCAGGGGTCGGCAGGTCCCGGGGCGGGGGGATACCGAGGACCTAGAGCAGGGCAGGGATCCCCTGTATCCCCTGGGCTGAGGGCCAGGGGTCACCGAGGGGAGTAACCGGGGTGGGGGGCGGCAGGAGCAAGGTGGGGCCGGAGAAAGGAGCCTCGCTGCTTGCCCAAGGAGTTACCGTGTGTGGGAGGCGGTTTCTCGCCGGAGCTGGTGCTCTCACAAAGCCGCCGGCTCGCCGGAGCTCGGCTCCCCACTGCCTCCCGCCGCCCCGGGC